TTGTTCCACCGAAATGGACATGTAAAATGAGGTTTTTAAGTGCTAGAATTAACTTCCAAATACGTAATCAAAGCGGCACTTAAAGGCTGGAATGAGAACGAGGGAACAGCAGCTCCTAAAAGGATTTGAAAAGTGAACAGACAGAGCAAACCGAGTTTAAAGTGGGGGGTTTCTATGGTTTAGTTTTGGGGTTTTTTTAACATATGGAAGAGCAGATTGAACAAGTTCATGGAAAAGAAATGCGTTGGGATGTAGTGAGGAGACTTGAATGGCAAGCAGCAGTCGCAGATCCCCAACACCGGGCTCGTTTGTGCCGGATGCTTGTTGGGATGACACGGATTCCCTGCAGGTTTCCTTGGGCTAGCAGTCATCTGCCTGCAGCCTACAGGGAGACGGGAAGGAGGAGGGATTTGCAGGGCTCCTCCTGTGTCTGCTGTGGCTTTCGGAGCTGTGGCATGTCTGGCTCCGTGGTGGCCAGTGCCTGGCTGTCCTCCCGGGCAGTGCAGCTGCCTGGTGCTGGTGTTGCACCATCTCATCCCGCCCAAATCCTCGACATCCCGTGCAGAGGTGGGTATTCAGAGGAAACAGAAGACACCTTCATTTCCACTGTATTTTCTACTGTAAATATTTTTTTTTTCAGGATGAACATTCAGCAGAAGGTCTCACTGTTTCTGAGCAAATGCAATCGATAGCAGTTCCTAAAACCATGCTGCTGCAAAGCCCGACTCATTCACCGGAGGCATTTATTTTATTGTAGCTTTTATTTCTCTGCAGTGGCTGTCTCTGTGAATCACGCTCTCCCATTGCCCCGGCTGTACGTGCCCTGGCTGCTTCGCCCCTTTGGAGGGACCGGAGGAGTCTGAGCACCCGGCTGGTGGCTTTGCTGCTCGGTGTCACTGTACCAAGGCTGCCTGCCAGGGTCCTGTCCCAGCACCCGTGAGGCTGGCTCTGGCAGAGACCTGGGAGCATCCCGCAGCCGTATTGCACAGAGCCCTGCAGCCTCTGGAGAAGGGACCAAGCGTCACCGTGAGACAGGACGGGGAGAAGGATCCCGCCGGGGACTCTGTGCATCTGGCCGGCTCTAAACAATTCCCCAGAGTGCAGTGACCACAGGTATGGGAGAAGCTGCGCTTCAGACGCCTCGATACCCAGCGCCAGGCTTTGCAAGAGGCATGGCAGGGAAAACAGTGACTGTACACGTCACGGAATAGTCTCCAGTGCAGGTTGTATGGTGACTTGCCTGGACAAATCCAGCCAGGTGAGGCAGAGCTGTGAGTAAATATTGCCTCAGGCTAATTAAACCCGGCGTTATTGGTCTGCCCCCCGATCTCTGCGCCTCGGGGGTTATTGTGACTGCTGTCACGTTTGGCTTGCTCCGCCACTGCAATGACAGCTGGGCTACGAGGCTCTGTTACGGGGAAACTGGACTTTGAGATGAAGCGTAACCCTGGGAATTTGGTGCTGAGAGATCTCAGGCTGCGTCCCTCGCTGGGTCTGGGGGCTGCGGGGTGGGTCAGGGCTTGTTCTCATTTCTGAAGGGAGGAAAAAGAAGCAGTTAGTGAAACAGAATTCTAACGGCAGTGTTTGGGCTGCGATGGAGCTGCCCAGGGCAAGGGGAGCCCGAGGAGAGGCTGAGACCTCTGGGAGCGGGAGGTGTGGGGGTGACCTCAGTCCCCCGGTTTGTGGCTGTGCCGGGGTTCCCGGTGCCCCCATGCAATGCCATAACCCCCGAGCGCTTCTCAGTGCCTCTGGCTTCTGCATCCACCTTCGGAGAGGAGGCAAGGAGGGAAAAAACCTGTTTTCTCTGACTGCTCAGAGTCAGTGATTCCAGTGGCAGTGGCGAGAGCTGCCTGTCTGTTGTGTTTTTCGGGAATGACCGTTAATGCTGTCGAGTTGGGGGGGCACCTCATTGTGGGGTGTCCCTGTGACCCTCCCCGAGCCGGGGTGGCTTGTCCTCTGCTCACAGCTGCAGCCAGCAGCGTTTCATTGTCATAAAATACTATCTCAAGTTTACCTACAGCAAAATTACTAGTTGCTGTTTTAATTTCCTTTCTAATAAAAGAAGAGCAAACATCTCATTTTCCACAGACTGGCTTCAGTAAAGAGTGGGCAGCGCCGTGCGTTGAGCGTGTTCTGGCTGCAGGATGTGAATTAGCATCCCAGTGCTGGGATGCAGCTTTGTATCTAGAGGCTGCTGGAGGCTCCTCCATGGAGTGAGCCGAGCGCAGGGTCGCTGGCGTTCTCCGTCCCCGCAGTGCCACAGACCCGCCTTGCTTTCCCGAGGGGTCCGGCAGCACCGTGGCAGATGGATGCTGCGGCGGAGGCGGCGGCGTTTGGGGTCCCAGCTGGCTGCGGAGGGGCTGGGCTCCGGTGGGAAAGTCCTCCAGGATCTGTAGACAACAGCACAGGAGAACCTCTCCAGAGTTTTGGGTTCTCTGGGCTGGAGCTGCCCTACAGATGCCAGCCGTGTCCGTTTGGGGGCCAGGGTGAGATTGTTCTGCTGGAAAACTTCCTCGGTGTAACACTTGTTTTCTGTACAAGACGGTGTCTGTCCGTCTGTCCCCTGTGCCCTGGGGCCGTGGATTTCTCATAGAGCTGCTCCCGTTCCGCTCTAGTCCTGCGGGTCAGGGCAGTGCCCTCGTCGCGGTGCCCTTTCCGCTTCCATTCCTTTAGATAACTTTGCTTTAATGTGATAACCTCAGTCAATACAGTGCATTTTTTTTTTTCCTTTTAATGAGTAATTTTCCATGGAACTGTGTCTCTTGGAAGGGTTTTTTGGTGTGCCTTGGGAGCGCAGGTGGTTTGCGCTGTGTTGGCACCGAGATGCCGGGTCAGAGCCGCAGTCCCGCTGTGCCGGCGGGTCCACGGGCACGGGGTAACCAAC